CAGCTGCGTTGGGTTTTGCCTGGGGACCCAATCCAGCCCAGCATCATGAGCATCAGCTGCAAAGGGTTTTGCCCGGGACCCCAGCCAGCCCAGCATCATGGTTCATCAGCTGCAGTGGGTTTTGGTCGGGGGCCCAAACCAGCCCAGCATCATGAGCATCAGCTGAATTGGGTTTCGCCCAGAGACCGAACCGGCACAGCATCATGAGCATCAGCCGCATTGGGTTGCGTTCAGGGGCCCAAACCAGCCCAGCATCATGAGCATCATTTGCGTTCGGTTTCGCCCAGGAGCGCGGACCAGCTCAACATCATGAGCATCAGTTGCATTGGGTTTTGCCTTGGGACCCAAAACAGTCCAGCATCATGAGCATCAGCTGCGTTGGGTTTTGTCCAGGGACCCAAGCCTAGCATCATGAGCATCAGCTGCATTGTGTTTCGCCAGGGGACAGGAACCAGCTGAGCATCAGCTGCATTGGGTACTGCCGGGAGACCCAAGCCAGTCTACCATCATTAGCAGCACACAGATTGGATTTGGCCCACGGACCCCAACAACCCCAGCATCATGAGCATCAGCTGCATTGAGTTCCGCTCAGGGACCCAAAGCAGCCCAGCATCATAAGCATCAGCTGCTGTGGGCTTCGTTGAGGTTCCCAAACCAGCCCAGCATCATGAGCATGAGCTGCATTGGGTTTCGCCTGGGGACCCAAGCCTAGCATCATGAGCATCAGCTGCATTTTGGCTCGCCAGGGGACACGAACCAGCCCAGCATTATGAGCATCAGCCGCATTGGGTTCTGCCCAGAGACAAACCTGCTCAGCATCATGAGGCTTTGCCCCAACCAGTCAGCATCATGAGCATCGGCTGCACTGGGTTTTGCCCAGTCACCCAAACCAGCCCAGCATCAGCTGCAGTGGTCTATGCAAAGGTTCCCATACCAGCCCAGCATCATGAGCATCAGCCACAATGGGCTTTGCTCAGGGCCCAACCAGCCCAGCATCATGAGCATCAGCTGCATTGAGTTTTGCTCAAGTTCCCAAAGCAGCTCAACATCATAAGCATCAGCCGTATGGGGTCTTGCCCGGGGTCCCAAACCAGCCCAGCATCATGACTTTCAGTCAGATAGGGGTTTCACCTAGGGAGCCCAAACCAGCCCAGCATCATGAGCA